ACCAATATATAAGCTGAACAAAAGGTATATACAATTTTATTAAACTTCCATGCAATGACTCGGGTCAATAACATGTTGTGTTGGGCTATAACTGGTTTCAAGTTCTAATTGAGTCGGTGCTAGTTCGGGTTCGGATTGTTGTCGAGTCTGATTAAATCGATTGACGATTACTATCAGGTTGAGCGCAGATACGAGTTCAGGACATAAAGTATTGAATCAAATCGGTTGTCGGTTAACATCAGGCCGGGTTCAGGTCGGGTTACAAGTCACTAGTTTCACTCCATTGTTCAGGTACAAGTCAGGTTTGGATCATTGCCGGTTAAGGTTAGGTTCTCGGGTTGGGTCAGTTTTTGATAGCTCTGGTTTTACCCTGGGATTTATAATAATTTGACTTGATTATAATAATGTCAATCAAAATAGAGTTGATTTAAATGAACTAACTTATATGTCCTCCATTCTTTTTTACTTGACATGCTTTGACTTTTTTACTATTCACCAACTCACTTTTGATCGATTTTTCTGAATTATATGTAAGGAAAAACACGTTCATATAGGATCTTGTTAAATTCGTCTAAATAAGTACTATCATAATTATATAACTTTAATAATTCTTACTTTGAAAGAATTAAAGTTATTGATGGTTAAATTTGTGCACCGGCAAGCGTGATAAAATAAACATGTTAAGTAAAAAAGAACGGAGGAAGTATATAACATTTATTTTTGGAAAATTTGAATTCATTCAATATGGTAAAGTTTTGGGTGAGACGGACTCACGTGAGTCCACAATCTTCATTCTCCTTCTTCCCCTTTCTCTCTCCTCCCGCCCATCGACAAGGTGAATAAAGAAGCTTTAGTGTGCATCCGAGCTTTCTTTTTTTCTCAACTAAACCTCATATTATTCCTCCTCTTCATTCATAAAACGAAGGCACTCAGAGTTCTAGAACAGAAGCAAAAAAAGGATGCGTAGTATGAAATATTTGTAAAGGCAGCAACGAGTTTCACTTAATCAATACTTGCACGAAACCCATTTCACATAAACTTGTTCAATACCATCTCAAAACAGTATTATTTGTAAAGGCAGCAACGGGTTTCACTAAATAAATACTTGCACAAAACCCAGATTACATAAACTTGTTCAACACCATCCTAAAGCAATAAGCTCATAAGCTCAATAGTACATGACTAATAGGTAGGGAAAATCCTCTTCAGAATACATACTACGCTACACCTAAGAACCCAGCCGCTTTATATAAATGTTTCCTGACTGCAAACTCTAACCACCTAAATTAACGAAGATACAAGTCATACAACAACAAACACAACTGATAATTTTTATCAGGAATAAGACTATTTTAGTCGGGAATAAAACTATTTTAGTCGGGAATAAGATAATTTTTATCAGGAATAAGACTATCAATTTTATAAAATGTTGGGGCGCGGGCTTTTGATTGGGTTTCTCAGACCCGCGCCTTTTTGTTGTTGAGTCCGGTCTCACGTGAGTCCGTTCTACGTAACACCTTGTCTACCCTTAAAACTCCCTTGTTAGATATATTGTTTAAAATGTTTTATACTGTAAGTTTTTATTCATTAAATTTTTTATAATATTATTTTTTACGAAAAAAAAGAGAAAAAGCAAAAATATTTGGGCAGGAAACTTTTTGTTGTGAATGCTACACGTGTAGTTAAGGGATAACTTTGGTAATTACTTTACTATAAAGTATAGATAGACAAGGTATGGAGACATTAAACACATGAGTAGAATAAAATCATCTAGGAATATTTTAATTAATATTGTGGAGTGGTTATGTTAAAAATAATCAACTTTTGGAATCATTTATCACACATTGCTCAAGTTTTCTTGTAAATTCAAATTAAAACATGTATTTGGCACGCACTTGAGGAAGATATTAAGCAATGTAAATAGATAAATTAATCAAAATAATTTATACATGCACGTACCACTTAATCCTTCTCTAATCTTGATTTTCAAATTGTTTCTAAAATAGAGGAATTATATTATTAAAATTAACTTGCATAATCCAAAATAAAAATTATAACTATAATTAATTGAAATGTACACATGTTAAAACTATATAACAAAAAGAATCAAGGAAAAATGGAAATTTAAAGTCCAACCTTTTAATGGTCTTCCCTTAAAAATCCAACCTTTTGATTATCCCATCAAAATCCTACTTTTACCCCCTATCTTCATCTAAAGATCCATATAACCTTTAACCTGTTAAGCTAATTAAAATGATTTTTTAAAAGATTCTCTCTCACTTTCCCTTCTCACGTCTCCTCTTTCTTTCTCCTCTCTCCTAGTAAATGGAAATAAACGGTGTCTCCTACTTCGGTCATCGGAAAACACCTTCCTCCGATCACTTCCTCGACGTCTTCTCTATCTCCTCTCCTTCCTCCGGCGACATCTCCGACGACGAGCTCACTAAAGCTGACCTCTTCTGGTTCGGCGACTTCTCCGATTCAACTCACTCCTATCCATCTCTCAATTCTCGCTATCGTACCAAAGGGTGGGCAAAAAATCCGATCCGAAAAATTGGGTATCCGATCTGGATTTTCAAGTTTCGGATATTTCGAATCGGATATCTGAAAATTTTTGAATCAGATCCGGATCACATTTTTAAAATTTCGGATATTTGAAATATCTGATTTTTTATTATTAAAAAATATAAACTCTAAGTGATATACAAATCTTTCACGCAGCCACAAACCCATAACATACAATCTCTATGCTTCTCTTGGGTTTTCTCTCTCCTTTACATTTCCATATTCTAGTCCCTAGAGTATCTCTAAGCCTTCACGAGCGACAGCAAACACCCCAAACAAGTAAGAGCCACCACCACATTAGGGCTTGCCATTGCATCGTCGCCTCACTCGATCTTCGGGCAATTGGCCGACCTCCAAGTCTACTATAACCCACACGCTTAAGTTGATTGAAAAACATTAAACATGATGTTGATCAATAGATCGAGTACTTATTATTATCTTTATAGAAGGTAAAAATGATGCTAATAAATTACTAGTCTTGATAGAATTTGAGCAGGAAATGGAACCTGAGAAGTACTCTTTTTGTTTTAAAATACTTGCTTCATTTTTTATTTCCGATCGTTTTTAAATACTTGCTTTATTTCCTTATTTAGAATGCTTTTACAATATTTAATCTATTTCTCTCACCTAGTGGAACAAACATAAATCATATTTTATTAATTTCATATCCTCTCTCCTCCAATTCTCGCCACTACTTTTACTTTTGGAAAAATTGCCTAGAATAATCCGACCTTTAGCTCATCCGCCCAAAATAATCCCACCTTTATATCTCTTCCGCTTTAAATGGTCCTAACCGGTCATCAAACTTGTTATTACAAGTTGCTAAACATGTGGCAGCCTATGATTTGTTTTAAAAAATAAAAATAAAAATAAAGATATTATAAAAAAAAAAGAATAAATTTTTTTAAAAAACCCCAAACTCACATCCGGCAGCCAGCCACCAGCCTTTACCCAATTCCGACCACCATATCCCCTCCTTGATTCCGGCCACCAACTCCGCTCCCCTTCCCAACCCCCGTTTCGACCGACTTCGACCCCGGCACCAGCCCGCTACACCACCAAAATTGCTGTGACACTGCTATTCCTTTGCAAACGCACCACTCACATTCAACCCCAAAATCGCGAACACCCAATCAGCCCCCAAAATGCATCATACAATCGGTCATGAAAACACATCATCCGTCAGCCCCAAATCGCACCATCCAATCAACTCCAAAATCGCAGACACAAAACACACCACCTAAATTGCAAACACCAAACGCATCACCCAAAATCGCAAACGGGGTCGATTTCGGTGGTTGGGCTGGGAAGAAGAGGCGGTTCGTTGGTTGGTCTGGGTTGAGAAGAAGATTTTGGTGGTTGGTCTGGGTAGAGGAGAAGATTTCGATGGTTGGGTTGGGTAGGGGAGGTGGTTTCGGTGGGGTGTGCCGGAGAGGGTGGTGGCCGTGGATTTTTTTATTTTATTTTTCAATATTTTTTTTTGTTAATTTTTCTTTTTTTTTTGTCCCATTACATGGTGACACGTGTGCAACACAATCACAAGTTACAAATGGTAACTTGTTTAGCCGGTTTCAAGTCACTAGGGACTATTGGGAGCAGATCGGACATATAGGTCGGATTATTAAAAAATAATCGAAATGTCGAATTATTTTGGGCGAATGAGCTAAAGGTCAGATTATTCTTTGACAATTTTTCCTTTACTTTTTACAATTTTTTTATTTTTCCACCTACCTCAATATTTTATTACTTACTCCAAATTCACCTAAAACTTCGTGCATGGTGAAATGGAACAAATATCAAAAAACGGAATGAGTAGTAAATAAGATTAATGAGTTTGAGGTTTGATGGTGAAGAGGAGGGTCTGATACTCTGATTTGTTTTTTTTGTCCTTTTGTGTTTTTTTTTAAAAAAAATTTATTTGAACTCCAAAAATAATTTCAAGCATTGTTAGAGCATGCACAATGGTTGCCCACAACCATTGTGATTATTGCTTATTTTATTAATTTCTACATCTTCCACCTAACCTATAACCACTCTTATACCCATTTAATAACCAATGTCTCCCAATAGTTAACCACATCTTTTTTATTATACATTTTCTCTCTCCTACTTTTACCCAACCCCATCACACAATATCTCTCTTAAATCCTATCATATATAACTAATACACTTGGTAATAATCAATTAAAACTAATAATTATTATTAGCATACAATAATTAAATAAAATGACTTATGTTTAAAATTAATGCATTATATTATTTAATTAGTAAGTAATTAGTCGTTAATTAAGAAATACACAATAATTGCAACTTTACTAAATTCGATAATGATAAAAATAGTACATATTCTATCAAATGACAACAATCTTTATAAGATAAAAATGAACCGTGCTTGAGTACAAATACAATAATTTAATGTTACGATTATACAACTATTAACGCAAATTATTTTGCCTATTGTGAACACCGAATTTGAGCCACATATTTTCAACTAAGTCTTTCTTTAAGGCTTTATGCATAGCTTCATCACGAACACGAGCTCTATTAGACAAATAAATTTCCAAACTTGCAATTCGGTTGTTGCTATTTTCGAACTGAAAAGGCTCTTCAGTGTTTCTATTACTTGAAGACGCGTTTGTAGCTTGATCATATTCATTTGGATCGTAATACGTTTTATACATATCTCTTTCATCCTCAACGATCATATTGTGCATAATGATACATGCTATCATTATTTTTCCTAACATTGATGTGTCACGAGCTAGCGCAGGATTCCATATTATTGCAAAACGAGCTTGTAATACTCCAAAAGCACGCTCAACATCCTTTCGTCTAGCTTCTTGTAATTTGGCAAAAAGACCTTTTTCATTTTGTGGTAGTGATATTGTAGGAATGAATGCTGCCCATTTAGGATATATGCCATCAGTGAGATAATATCCCATATTGTAATGATGGTCATTCACAACATAGTTAATAGAAGGTGCACGACCTTCAAAAACATCGTTAAATAAAGGGGATCTATCAAGAACGTTAATATCATTACGACTACCTGGTGTCCCAAAAAAGCATGCCAGATCTAAAGATCATATGATGCCACAGCTTCCAATATTAATGTGGGCTTACATGGTCTTCCAGAAAACATACCTTTTAATCGAAGTGGACAATTTTTCCACCGCCAATGCATGCAATCAATAGAACCTAGCATACCTGGAAATCCTCGACGTTTACCAATTCTTAGTAGTCTTACTAGATCTTCTTCATTGGGCTTTCTAAGGTATTCATCATTAAAGTAAGAGACAATTCCTTCCACAAAATCTTGTAGTGAATCTCTTGCAAGAGATGCACTAATTCGAATGTAGTCATCTACAGAATCAGCAGAGGTGCCATAAGCTATTAGCCTCATAGCAGCTGTGCATTTTTGCAATCCGGAGGCACCAAATCTTCCTGTAGCATCTTGTCTTTGTTGAAAGAAGGGATGACGTTCTTCTAAAGTTTGCTTTATTCGGAGAAATATATGTTTGTTCATACGAAATCTCCGACGAAATAATTGTGGGGGAAACACAGGATGGTCAGCAAAGTAGTCATTCCAAAAACGATTGTGTCCATCCTCACGATCCCTTGGAACGGGGATCCTTGGTGCCCTTGGAACTTGATTTAACATTTGATATATTTCAATTGGATTGGACATAAAAACTTCATCCATTATTCGGTTACACAAGACGATTGGCTTGCCTTCGTCTTTCATATCGTTGTGTTTGGCTATTTTCTGAATTGGATGAAGAATTAGAAGAGTTGGAGCTTTCGTCGGATGACATGTTATTAAAAACCAAGTTGATATGAGAATGGAAGGTAGAATTTTTTTAGGGGAAAAGATGGATGGTTAATCAAGTGAAATGTATCTCATTCATTTTATAGAACAAATGTGTTGGGTATGTAGTCATCTTTATTGTCTTATATGGTGAATTTGAAGTCTTGCATGCATGCATTGATTCAGAAAAAAATTAATAATTTTTTAGTAATGTAGAGGCATGCATTTGTATTGTCAATATCACCTTAACATTGTTATGTACGTAAAAGCAATATAGTGTTACTACTACCTTTTCAGTGTTAAGTACATCAATGTCTAGTATCTGATATTTGCTTTTCAGTGTTGGGTACATCAATTCTTTTTCAGTGTAATGTAAATCAATTTATATCTTTTGCTATGAAATATCAAAGTGAATCGATGGGTTTAGTCAAATCAATAATAATTATATGTATATAAATCGTATCGTATAATACGATTTTAATACTAAATATGTAATAAACTTGTTTTTTTTATATTAATAATAACATTACAATGTAACATTCATTCATATCCTAAATCAACAACACATTAAAAATTGCGAAAATAAAAATCGAACCTTAGTACATAAAACAGAAAACTAAAAAGCAAATTATTTGATATTAAGCTAAGCAACATTTAAACTATGATTAACCATACACCTAGTACATCAGTTTGAGGGGAACAACTTCTTCAATAAATTGTTCCTTAGTTCTTGATCTTCTGAAGATAGGTTTGGCTTTGAATCGAGGTGTTTAAATAACTCCATATTAACCTTTCTTTGCTTCCTTGCTTCTTTCTCCCTTTCTAGTTGCAACCTTGTAACTTCCACTTGATTTTCTGATTGCCTTATAAGGTTCATGTTCTAGGCCGTGTCCAACCATTGTCTCCATGCTGCAATTAAGTGGCATATTTGTCATCTTGCTCTTTCCTTTATTTTTGCTAGATTCGTTGCTGGAAGGCAAGCCTGAATACCCAATATCACCACTGGTTGGTGTTTTCGGGTTTGATGAAGATGAGTAGTTGCCAGCTTCATTGATACGTGATCTATTTGAGTCACTTCCTTGAGTAGAAGTTTTTTGCTTGCATTTTGTGAACAATATCTTCACTTGGTTTCCACGCATCATGTTGTATCAAAATGTCCCAAATATGCTTGTCTTGAAAGGTTTTAGACATCAATGATGTCTTTGTTTTGTCAGCATCATATATATGATGCCTTCATAACATCTTCATCATTGTTCCCACTTCCCCTTCTTGATTCAGCAAGAGCATGTGAACCACAAAATTTAGAACATGAAGCATTGATCCTTCTCCAACGGTTTCTAAGTTGCTCCAAACCCCTCATTTTCAACAAATCTTCTCGTGTTACCCCGTCAGTACCTTCTTTGAAACACCTTTGTTTGTATAATCTAACATTATTATACATTTCCTCAATTTTCCTCCAAAAAACATCCCCTTTTTGGTTAGTGTTAGTTTTTTTATTTTGACTAACCTCAAGCCAAGCCTTCACAAGAACCACTTCTTCAGATTTTGACCAAAACTTTGTTTTTCCATCTTGATTGCCTTCTTCATGACCTCTTTCATTGACTTCAACTTCTGGTTCATTGTCATCATCTGATCCAGCCGAAGTGTATGAGCAATTGAAACTCGGAAGTACACTATCATCACCTTGTGACATAGGAAATGTTGGATCACCTTGAGAGATTTGAATATTTTCAAAAGATGGAATAACATTTTGAGAATATGAATAATTAGGATTTTGTGGTGGTTGAAAAGGAAAAGGAGTAAAAGTACTTGGATTTGAGAAATTGAGATTTGAACCATAATTCGAAAATTGTTGAAAATTTGTATCTAATCTGAGTTGAGATCAATTGGAATGTTAGAATAGTAAGGTTGAAGATTTGGATTGTTTTGGGGTTGTGATGAGTTTTGAGATTTTGTGGGTTTTTTTTCTATTAGATTTTGGAATATTCATCTCTACACAGTTTGATAATAAAGAGAGTAATATTCACTAAAAAAAATTGTTTCAAAATACCTCAATATTAAGCTCATTTTATAGAAAAAAAATAAAATAGAGTCGTTGGTGTTTTTTTTTTTTTAAGAATTGTATTTTAAAAATTATGGCCGTTACAAAATTACAACGGTAATAAAATCAGAGCAAATCTCAGCCATTGATTAAATGAATAGGTGTCACAATCTCAAGCAGCCTTGTCATTATGTGTCACTATCAAAAACAATAAAATATTCCATGACCAATCTACAATAACCGGTTATTCTAGTAACCAGGTTATTGAAAATTTTCCCCAAAAATTTCTCTCTCTTCATTATTTTATTATTATTCCACTTTCTCTCTCTTAATAACCAACCTCAATAACTAATGGCTGGGTATGCTCTTACTTTAATGTCGATAACCAGGTTGGATCTCTAATGATCTGATCCAAATTTTTTGGATATCTAAAAACCGGATATCTGGTTTTTTTGGATCGGTTTCAGATCAAATTTTAGCCGATCCGAAACGAATATTCCGATATTTCTTATCAATTCGGATAGGAAATCCAATTTGGCCAACCCTAATCGTACCTAACCTTGGGTTCCGCCTTCAATCTTGAATCTTCGATGCTCTTCCTGATGATGGCGACAATCAAAATATTTTGACTTAGTTTCAATCAATTCCAAATTAAATTAAAGGTGCCAGATACCTAGCCCTGACCTCGAAAATACCCCCTATCCCCAAAAACCTAGCCACCACCCTAAGTAAACATCAACCACCGAACACCCCCACCACAAAAACCTTGACTTTACCTCAAATTCAACAACCCCATCCCATCAGGGCCCATCTCATCTCCTCTTTTTCGTTTTTTGGTGTGGTTTTGGTTGGTTGTGACGTTAAAGTTGGAGGATATGTGCGGCAGTTGTTTAATTGTGGTTGCTTGTTGGCTGTGGTGTTAGAGATGAATGTTGTTGTCGGTGGGCTAGGGGTAAGGTGGTTGGCGTGATTGGTGGTCAGGTGTTTAATTAGATATGACAGGGGGTTGTGCTTGAATTTTAGGGGTGGGGGCTTCAATTTTTTTTTTCTTTTAATTGTTTTTGTTTTTTAAAAATTAATAGACCTATCAAAAGCAAACACGTGGCATATAACTTACAAAATCGTCATTAACAAGTAATGGATCTTTAGATAAAATAAGGGTAAATGTTGGATTTTTATGGAATAATCAAAAGGTTGAATATTTAAGATAAAACCTGTAAAATGTTGCATTTAATTTTCATTTTTCCAAGAATCAATCATTCAATATCAACATATCAATATCAATACATTTTATAATACTAAAACAAACACCAGGAATAACACATATCACTTTCTGGTGTTGTTTATTCCCTCCAAAACTCTCCTTTTTAAAAAAAAAAAATTGTTTTAGTCAATGTCACCTTCTATAATTTAGACATAATATATTCAACAATCTTATAATTATAATAATTTTGGTTCATATAATTTTCATATCCATAATAAAATATTTTTCATACCTATTACTTTGTATGCCATATCTTTAAATAACACAATACACCCCATTTTGTTCTTTCAAATTATTGATATATTTTCCCGTCAAAAAAATTATTAATATATTTTATATAAGGTAATTATTTAATTTAAACTGATGAATCTATTAACTACTATATTCGTGGTTTAAACTGCACAAATTATTATTAGGAATCCTCCTACTAATATCATATTTTTCAAAACTAATTAGTGAGTGTTTCTTATTACTCCTACTCATCCGTTTTATTACATTATTTAGAATGCTTATTTGGCTAATAAACCTCAATTTTTTTCTTTACATTTATCAATGAAATTTTTAAACACCCATATGGTTTAAGATATATTTTTAATATACTCATAGCCTAATTGATTCTTTCGTTATATTTCATGTTTAATTTTGTTAAGTATGAAAAATATGAACAAGATAAATACAAAATTTGTACAACGCGTTTTTGGTGCGGCTGGTCGCACAGTGCGGCAAGGTGCCATATCAGTAACCCCTCTAGTAACCCCCTCAAGTAATTCCACTTAAGTAACCCCTCTAGTAACACCCCATACAAAGTAACCCCTAACTGACCTAGTAACCCCCAGTAACCCCTGACCGACCTATTAACCCCTAACCTAGTAACCCCAAGTAACCCCTAACAAACCTAGTAACCCCTAACCAACCTATTAACCCCTAATCTAGTAACCCCAAGTAACCCCTAACCGACCAAGTAATCCCTAACCTAGTAACCCCTAACCGACCAAGTAACCCATCCAGTAACCCTCCAAGTAATCCCTTAAGTAACCCCACTTAAATAATCTCCCAAGTAGCCCCCCCCCCCAAGTAACCCTCAAGTTGCCCCCCTCCCCTCCAAGTAACCCCACTTAAATAATCTCCCAAGTAGCCCCCAAGTAACCCCTTCAAGTAACCCCACTAAAGTAACCCTTCAAGTAACCCATCTAGTAATCCCTTACCCCTCGACCTACCCATCTAGTAACCCCTAAAGTAACCCCCGACCTAGTAACTCCTAAAGTAACCCCCGACCTAGTAACCCTTGACCCACCACCAACCCAAAAACGCCACTAGCTCCACCCCAATATGCCATGCCTCCACCACCATGCGCTGAACCCACAAACAAACATAGATCTAACCGAACCCAAAACCAAATCGTAATAAATAAATAAATAAATTGAACAAATACCTTTAAAATTAACAATGACTTCGAATTTCACTTCAAATATGGCTAGAAGGCCAAATTCGACCATGAAAACTCTAGATCTAGAGTTTTTATGGCCGAAAATCCACCGCCACCCACGCCACCAGCTTGTCACCATCTTTGTGTTCGTCATCGTTGAAGGTTTTTGAAACTCCAACCAACCTATCGAAAATAATAGCTAGCATTGAATTGGTTTGGCCAATTATTATTTACAGTAACATTGGTAGAAGATAGTAGATTATAGAAGAAAAGAGGAGAGAGTAGATTGTAGAAGAAAAGAGGAAAGAGAAGAGTAAGAAGACTGTTAAATTCATAGATTTTTTTTTAAGAAAAAAATAATAATAAATTCTGGCTAGCCGCACAGTGTGGCCAGCCACATAAGAAACTTTGAGAAGTTTGTAATAATTGTGTTTTTGTCCATGTTATTTTATAAAAAAAATTATTTTTAATTTAAATATAGTGAAACTACCATGCATAGACCAGAGTACGAGACAGCCTAACCTAGTACAATACTAAAACACACCAAGAATGACAAGTGTATGTAACTCCTAGTGCAATATTTTCCCTCCAAAACCATCCTTTCTCTTTTCTTACTAAAATCATTTTAGAGAATATTAGCCTTTTAATTTCTTTTATATATCAACTAAATTTATATTTAATATGCTATAAATTGTATCATTTCTTGTCAAATTCTTTTAAAAGAATATTTGTATATTTTGATTTCCTATTTTGTCATTTTTTTTGGTAATCGTGCTTATTTTATTTATAAAGACGTGTGCTAAAAAAAGTAAACTGATTTTACTATTTTCTTTTCTCTAAAAGGTCGCAAGATCACTTTGACTATAGAGTTAGGGCATGTTCTCATACGTTTATTTTCACTTCATTTCAGCTCCTAATTTCCTTCTCTACTTATAAAATATTCAATTCAGCTCAGTCAGTTTAGTTCAGTTCAGTCCAATTTAGTTTAATTCAGTTCAGCTGATTTCAATCTATTAGATCAAGCCCTTAAACTATATATCTTCCTCTATTTTATTTCAATTCATCTTATCTTATATATCTCATACCCTATTTTTGTTTTTTATTTTCTTATTGTAGAGAATATTTCAAGCATCCCACACTTGAGCCCCATTGTGGTCATACACTTAAGCATGGTGGCGTCTAAAGGGAAGGAAGCTAAAGTAAAAGAGTCGCCAACAAGTTTTAGGAACTTATAAACCGTTCACATGATGAAGGTTACACCCCTTGAAGATCTAAGAGATCGCTAACTCCATAGTGGTCTGGAACCATGACTGGATATTCGGGGATGAAGGTACAAATCCAATCTAAAAGAGATTGAACCTACCCTAATAATATGCCTCTACTTTATTGTTCTCATATTCATGTGCGCTTTTTGACTAACATACAATCATTAGATTAACCTTAAACCTAATTAATCGATGTTGGTTGAATATTAATGCACAAACAAAACTATTATTGGTGATCACTTGAATTATAATCATATTAACCTAAACAAGATTATTAATTATTTTATTAAGCGTGATTACAAGTAAAAATTCCCTTTGAACATGCATAAAAAGTGTGATCAAGCAATAACAATAATAACATCAAGCAACATAATAAAAATCATCATCATAATAATAATCTCAATAAAGCATAATAATATTAGCAAGATCCTAGGCACGGTACTAACAAGATTAATAACAAACCCTAGCATGTCACTAAACAATAAAGATCAAAGCTTTATCCCTAACATGATACTAACATGATATTAGAAATAATAGGAAGCAACCTAAACATGATACTAGAAAGCATACATGCATGATATTAGAAATATTAGTTATTACCCTAAACAGGATACTAGGAATCATAAAGACATCCTAACATGATACTCCGTAGGAATCAAAATAATCAAAGCATAACTTCTATATCAAAAGAACAATAAAGTAATTAGATTAATTACTTGGATGCCTCGTATCTCTTTCTAATAACAAAATACACGCGTTAGTAACTTCAATGAAAATAATAAATCAAACAATTAATTTAAATAATTGAAATAGAGATTTGGGACCAAACCCTCAGAAAGTATCAACCTTTCACGTCTAAGGCAAAAGCAACTTCG